CTCTTTGTCGCCCTCTTCTAATTATTAGTTTCGAATTTCATGCAAAAACATAGAAATTCGATACATTCAATTATAAATTATTATAAGGTTTAATTAAAATTAATGGCAATTTGGAAAACTATTAAAGTTTAGAACACTCCATGAGAAAAGAGAGAATATTTGTTATGTTCTACAGATACATTAAAATTATTAAGTCAGACAATTAATGAATAATAATAGATAATAGAACACATTGGCATGGTATGTCATATATATATCTTCTTGTATAAAAATTCGAAAACGTAATTTTTACGTGTAAAATTTTATGTTGGACGATCTATCTGATCGTCTTGATATATCTTATTGAAAAATTGGAGTATACATATATTTAGATACAAATACTAAGATGTCAAAAAATGGATCAATAGATCTCAATAATTTGATGGTGGAAGCTTAAAATGTTTTGATGTGATTGGTTTTTGGAAGGCTTGGAAGAAAAAATGTAAAAAAATATCTATCCAGATTTTGACATATTAAATTAACTAGAAATTGATATGATTGAGAAAATTTTTTCAAAAGAAAATGAAAAATTCAAAGACATTTGATTCGGAACAGTTGATTCATCTCTGGCATATTTGATAGTTGATTTGTCTGATAGTTGACATCAAGTTGTCCTAAACGCGGATTTGATTATGAAAATAATGTATTTATTAAAGTAGTAAATTAGTTTTAATAAATTTATTAGGATTTATTCAATATGCACTGCAATATTTCCATTTTTGCTTACATTTATCGTTAACCTATGCAATTATCATCAAAAAGCCATTAAGAACTATTAATGTAATACCCTAAAATATAACAGGTAGCAAATTCAGGCAAATTGCCCTTGGACCCAAAATATTTTACTTTTATGCAAGCTCATAAAAGTTCTATGACATTGTGATCTAAGATCTGTAGTAGATATAATTATTAGTTTTAGTCCCAAAAATAAAAGTCTGATGCGGTAGCTCGGAAACCCTGGTTAATTACCCCAAATAGGGTAAAAATATTTTTTTGGGGCTAAAAGTATGTGTTTTTACTTGATATTCATTGCAATTGCTATATAGTAAATGTCCATGTGGGGGCTAATCTCTTTTCGCGATGGGGGTAATATCAATTTGACAAAAGAAGGGGGGTAATGAGTAAAAAAGTTCCCCGACTGTTGATCTAATGCAATCATAATTTTGAAGACTGCTAAATAAAGGAAATCCCCTTGGGTAACTAGATCTTAGACCATAGATTATGGGATTTATGTGTGGCTAAATCTGTGGTTAAATAGACGCCCTTGTTACTGAATGTGCAAAAATAGTCCAAATCACAAAGGCAAGTTTTTCCTGCATCATTACTGCAATATTCCTTCCAAAAATGGTCAACTTTTTATATCGATTTTGATGTTGATAGAAGAAATATCACTTGAGTTCTGATGATTTGATTAATGAATTTTGATTTGATATTCGTACGTTTCGACAAATATCCTGTCCTTCATTCAAAGAAAAATTTTGTTTGATATCCTAATATTAAATGATATGAATAAGTGAACGCATGAGACATTTGCCAAAGATATGAACAATTATATAGCCAAATTTTGGACGAGACCATACATTGTATGTTTCATAAATGAACCATATTGAACCAGGACTGAACCACATATACTACATTGGAGTACCGATCTACACTGCTCAGAGACATGGACTCTCATGGCCAGCAAAAACTTCTTCGAAAATTTCAGGATGTGAATCCGGAAGAATTTGAAGAAGCCGGCAAGGTACAAAAAGATAGTTCTATAAAAATTTGAAACAAGAAAGTATTTCAATGTATATGGTGATAAACAAGTCAATTATGACAAAAGGCAATTTATAAAATATTTTTATTAATTATGAGAAGAGCGAAAATAAGTGAAAAAACGCCATGTGGCAGTCAAAAATGATCATTAGACATATGCACATCAAATTATCAGATATTTTAGAGAGATTTCAATAATAAGTAGTGGCGGGAATAGCTCACTCAGTATCGTTCTCGACTCACACGCTGGAGGAATTTGGTTCGAATCTCCAGCAATACCAGAATTAAATATGAAATATTAAAACTAGATTAAGAATTGATAATTTGTAGGATACAAGAAAAAATGTATAGAAGTAAGAAGAAAAAAAGCATTTTGTTTAGAAGATGAGAAGAACATATTGAGAAATATAAAGAAGAATGAAAATCAGTAGAAAGAACATTGAATGGAAGATTCGGATATAAGAAGAGATAGTATAAGTATGATTAATTTATAAGAAATATATATGTAAGAATTGTATAGAATATGATGAAAAATAATATGAATAATGTAGGTGGCTAAAATGCTGTAAAAACAGAGGCCAATAAAAATTAAATAATAATAATATAATAATAAGTAATAATAATAATAATAAGTAGATATGAATTTTGTTTACATTTCTATGGGTTTTCGTACCAATGTTAGACATTTCGACATTTCTTCTCTAAAAGCTTGCCGCTTTTGACTGCTTTGAAAAAAAATTCAAATTTTCAGAAAACATTAAAAAAAAAATCAAAATTTTCAAAAAAGTAAGGTTTTTCCAAAAATTCAAATTTTTCAAAAATCTTATTTTTCTTCAGTTTTCAAAAAATTTTGAAGGTTTTCGGTGCGAGAAGTTCTAGCAATTTGCCTTAAGGCACGATGCCAGTTTGATATACTAGTTCATCACTTTAAAATTACAATTTTAAAATAATCTATGTATCCTAATTCATACTTCACATTATTACCATTGCATTTAAGTAATTCGCCGTTGTTACATTTCTCTTATTTTATATACCTCGTATAATATAATAAAATTTTCGCTTTCCGCGTTCGTAATTTATAGTGCTATTACTCCAACTATTTTTAGTATAATGTTATTCACACCTAGGAAGTGACTAATATAATGGCAGATACAAATTATCACTTATTACGTCAAACCACACGCTGGGATTTGGGTGACAAACCGCGGAAAAAAACATCCGAAAATGAACCAAGTGATTTTTAGAACTAATAATGTTTTATTATATGAAGCCTTGTGATGTTTGTTTTTGTTAGCAATCTAATCATGCCAGAAGGGAAACAATTCTGTTTTTTTATTAATTCAGTGATTGTCAACAGACTTTTGGAGACCTTCATTAGTAGCTACTTCATCAAATTGAAAAATGCAAAAATTTTCATTTTCGATTTTTTTGCGATTACTATAACTTGCCCTACGGGAAGTTAAAAAAATAATGATTTGATGGCCAACAATTTATTTGTATTGATTTATTGATTATAGACGGATACATTGAAGTCATTCTCCAAATTAGTTATATTGGTCTAATTTTACTAAATTTGTAATCTATTTAGAAGCACTTCGATTTATCAATGCTGACTTGGTTTTCATTTCAATGAAAAATTGTAAAAAAGACTAATAATTAAATGAATAACAATAGGATTTGTGTTAATTTAATGATTGCCAATAGGTCTTTGG